TAGGAAAATGCATCACCTGTCACCAACATCACGGATCACCAAGATGTGTTCAAGTTACATTTATATTGTAGGAAAAAAACATAATCGGTCACCAGGATGTGTTCAAGTTACTGGAATATAAAAAGCATCACTGGTCACCAGGATGCATTCAAGTTCCATTTATATTATAGGAAAATGCATCACATATCACCAGGATGTGTTCAAGTTACATTTATATTGTAGGAAAAACACATTATCGGTCACCAGGATGTGTTCAAGTTACAGTTATATTGTAGGAAAATCATCTCTGCTCATCACAGTTCTGTTCTGCTTGTTTTATGCTTGTTTTAACTTAACAGTTTATTTTTAGCTTCTTCAGCACATTTCAGCAGACGTTCAGCTGTATTTCTGCTGTTAAATGTTGTTTCCTGTTGTCTCCGTTTGTCTCCCTGCAGAACAGAAAAGTGTGTTTTCTGTGCCAGAGAGCGACCTGAAAAGGATCTTCTGGGTTCTGTCTCTGCCCATCATTGCTCTGCTCTTCCTGACCATCCCGGACTGCAGGAGACGGTTCTGGAGGAGCTGGTTCATGGTGACGTTCTTCATGTCGGCCATCTGGATCTCAGCCTTCACGTACGTGCTGGTCTGGATGGTCACTGTTGTTGGTGAGGAGCTCAGTCAGAACTTTGTTTTTGGTGACAGAAGATGAACTTTAAGTTCTGACATCTTTCGTCTTTTTATTATTTTAATTGAAAAACGTTCAGGTTTAGATTTTGGATGCACGTGTTCTTCTCTTTAAAAGTTTGTGTTTGCATTTTCAACAATGTTCAGTCAGGTTATCTCGATGGTTCCTTTTTTTTTTTTTTGCTTTGATGTTTCGTCCTTCATCCAAAGGACTTCTTCAATCTGAGCAGACACCAAACAAACTGACTGGCACAAACACCATACTCCATAGTGGGGGGGAAAAACAGTTTGCTGGTGCTAAGGATGAAGGACGAAATGTCTCAGCAAAAAAAAAAAAAAAGAAGAAGCCGTCCAGATGACCTGACTGAACAATGTTGGATTTTTACCTGGATTATTGAGCATGAACTTTGTTTATTTTAATTTTAGTCTGCCCCTCCAGAGGTTCTGAAAAACTAAAACTGAACTCCAGATTCTGCATAACAGTTAGTTGGGGGCTTTTGAAAGGCGGCTCTAAAAAAACCTTGTAGCTCGAACTTCCTCCAGTTGGTTCCACTTCAATTCTCAGCTCTTCTACCAGAGGCCTGGGTTCTGTTCAGTATCTCAGCTGTTCCTAGGACTGCACTCTTCTGGACAGAGATCTCTGAGGTTGTTCCTGGGATCTGTTGGAGCCACTCATCCAGCTTTGGGATCACAGCACCAAGTGCTCCAATGGCCACTGGGACTACTGATGCTTTGACTTTCCTTCTGTATGTCCTCTTTCAGCCCTCGGTATTTCTTCAGCTGCTCCTTCTTCTTGATGTTACAGTCACTTGGGATTGCTCCATCTATCCCCACTTCATTCTCTAGTTGTCAACCTCCTTAAGATCTGGTTGGTTAGGTCTGTTTGTTGGTCTGGATCTGAAGGTCCCACAGTATCTTAGCCTTATCATTTTCCACCACCCTTGGTGGCATCCCACACTTTGTGGAACCTCCAGTTCATACACAGCACAGATGTTCCTGTATATTACTCATCAGTTCATCTCGGGGTTTCCTCCTGATGTACTCCAGGATCTTTGTTGTTTCATCCAGTAGAATGGCTCAGATGCTCACTGGTCCTCTGGCTCCCTACTTTCTCTGAGTGTTCAGTCTCAGGGTGCTGGACTTGGACTGAAACCCATCAGTGAGTGTCCCATCAGTGGTTTCTATGTCCTCCTTTGGCCCAGTAAGGTGTCTGCTGACTGGCACAAGTCAACATGATGTTAAAGATTTAAACCCTGTTTGTTCCTCCTGAAAACCAAGAATCTGGTTCTAAAAGTCAAACGTTTTCTTTAAGTCTCTTTGTGAGATCTGGGTACATTCTGTACATTTCCTGGTCTTCCCGGTCCAGGTGCAGGAATAAATCAGTCGAACTCTGCAAAGCGTCCGCTTTGAGGATCACAAGTATTTGAAACTTGTGGGAAAATAGTTTCAGATCAGAGTCACATGTTGGTCGGCTGGCTAATTCCTGAGATACCATTGTTCAGATGAGGGAGGGGGCATTACGCTGTAACTCCAGAAGTCCTTGTGGCCAGTCATCCTCCACAGGATTACAGCGGCCCGGCCCCTGAGGAAGTCCAGTCATGTGAGGACCGGCTGCACATGCATGACCCGGCATGGGTCTAAGAACAAATTCCACCTCTGTCCACAATAGAGACGTAAACTGTAGTTCTGAGCTGGGGGCGATGCTGAGAGGACAAAGTTCTCATGTGAAGGTCCTCTGAAGCACAACGAGATGATTATCACACCCTCAGACAAAGAAGACAGGAATACTATGAAAGAGCCAGCAGGGACACAAGGAGGTCTTTTAGGAACTGGTGGTTTAAATGAAGGAATAAACCATGAGGAGACATTTTGATTGACTCTAAACTAAGACAAATCACAACATAACTACCGGTAGTTACTACTGATGTTATTACGGTTTTCTTTTACAATTTATACTTTGTTGGCTGTAACTGGAACCCTGTGTACACAATTTTGTTCCATCACATGTACCACATGAGATGTGAATGACAATAAAGAAAACCTTGACCTTGAAATTGTAAAATAAAAATAAAAAAATGTTTATTGTGAATGGAGGTGGTTGGACTCAAGGAGGAAGACTGAAACAAGGATGACACAAGAAGGACACAAATATTAAAACTGAAATAAGGAGGACACAAGGAGGACACAAGGATGAAAACTGAAATAAGGAGTACACAAGAATGAAGACTGAAACAAGGGGGATAAAAGGGGACACAAGGATGAAAACTGAAAACTGCGATAGGCGAAGCTTTTCCTTACATTACACCAGGGGTGTCAAACCCACTTACAAAACGGGGCCAAAATTAAAACCTTTTTCAAACTAAGGGCCAATTTCAGAAACTACATTAACTCAAATCAGATACCCAGCATCTTTTCTTGGTCACAGGTTCCTCAACAACAGTTTGATTGGTCTCATTTGATGTTCTCTGTTGTGCTTTCTACATCCTAATTAAAGATTACTGAAAAAATTCAAGAGATAGAAGTATTGTACGTTTCACATATCATCTTGGGGGCCAGATAAGATGTCAACGAGGGCCACATTTGGCCCCTGGGCCTTGAGTTTGACACGTATGGTTTACACATTTCCCAGGAGCAGTTTCCATTTCGGGAGATGAGTAAAAAATAGGAGCTGCTCCGATACAAAGACAGAGAGCAAAGCAGCAGGAGGAAAACAGGAAGCGGGAAGGAACGCCTCGTTAGAGAGCTAGTGAAGAAAAAAACACATTTATAAATGTTGTACGTCAGTGCATGAAAAGAACCTTAACTTTAGCAGAGATTAAAAACCTAGCTGTAGCAAAGTACTACTCCAAGCTCATGACTGACATCTTCCTGAGCTGTCCAACAGTTTTTGTAGAGACTTTTATGAAGTCCAGTTGTCTCTTCCTGTTCAGCAGGTCAAGCTCAACGCTGCTGTTTTCTCTCAGACTTTGTCATGTGTGAAATCTGATTTTGTTGTCATTTTGTTTGCTCAGGTGAGACGCTCGGTATCCCCGACACTGTTATGGGACTCACCCTGCTTGCTGCTGGAACCAGTATACCCGACACCGTGGCCAGTGTGATGGTTGCCAGAGAAGGTATCACTGTCGCAGCTCACCTGACAGAAACACTAAAGACATAGCGCTTCAGAATACCAGACTATTGGTGCACAGGCCTAAAACTCACCGCGGGCAGGTTTATGAGCAAATGTTTCTTTTAGAATTGGTGAAGAACGAAGGTGAACAGATGTCTGATGTGTTTGTCAGGGAAAGCTGACATGGCCATGTCCAACATCGTGGGCTCGAATGTGTTCGACATGCTGTGCCTGGGTCTGCCCTGGTTCATCAGGACTGTCTTTGTGGACACCAACAACCCTGTGGAGGTCAACAGCACCGGACTGGTCTTCATTTCTGCCATTCTCCTCGTCTCCATCGTCTTCCTGTTTGGAGCCGTGCACGTCAACAGATGGAGGCTGGACTGGAAGCTGGGACTCGTTTGTTTAGTTTGTTACATTCTGTTTGCCACTCTGTCCATCCTCTATGAGTTGGGGATCATTGGAAATAATCCCATAAGACTGTGTGGCAACTAAAGTCTGATCGAAAAGGACTGGTGCAAGAGTCTTTAAAAACCAACGCACTAGTGAAACTTGAAAGAACTAATGAATCAATCCAAACCCTCCTGCTGCCCTTGGCTCAAAAAGAACCAAAAGGCTGCTGTCGGCTGTCGCTAGGCCTCGTGGGTTATTTTGATCCAAGGGCAGGACCTTTGGGGCCACACTCGAAATACAGCTGCCATCTTTAAATACCCACAATTCTCACAGGTGACTATTTCAAATCCTAAACATAAAAAATATATAATTATTACACTAATATAACATGTTCATAAATCATCAGATCCACCCTCCTCATACCAGGTTGGACCCTTTGCCTTCAGTCTAGACACATAACTCTGTTTCCCAGGTCCAACAAGATTCGAGTCCATCCTGACAGGACATCAGCTGCAAGTCCATGATGACAACCCTGTTCCAAATCTGAAAAGTTCTGATTGGACTGAGGAGTCCAGTGGATCCAAACTCAGACCAGGTGGTATTCCTTCTCATCAGGATTGGTGAGGGTCATGTCTCCTGTTCGTAGAGACAGGAAGTGGTACCAGGTGTGCTCTTCTGTTGCTGGAGGTTCAGGGGTGGTATTCTGCAGACCTCGGGTGGAACCAGTGGTTCCTGGATCGACCAGTTTGACCTCTGACCTCAACGTAATAAAGTGGTGAGTGTAAAATAAAGATACGGTGATCTACAGAACAGGACATGTGGACTATAAACCCATCCGTATCCAGTTGTCACTGTGAGGGGGGGGGGGGGACATCTGGACACGTCTCCAGTCCAAGAGACAACCCTTCAGCCTTGAGACACTTGCTTTAATAGACACATGGATGAAGAGCCTTTCATCAGGTTCTTGCATGTTTACTACAGCAATGAAAGGCACGAGTGGAGTTATTGTTGGACACTTTCAGGACTTTATTCTGCAGCTTGGTTGTAACGTTTGATCAGAAAACATCTTGAGGACAATGTTCACATCGTCTTAACATTTACTGAAGTTAAAGATGTGACACACGCAGCTTGTTGTTTCTGGATGAAGCAGCTTTAATCCAGTTCTACTAAACAAAAGCCTGATGTAGATGGAAATCTTCACTTTGTTCAAAAGCTTTTAACATTTTGGTGTTTGTGACTTATTTGAGGACATGGAAGCAGAGGTCATGTTACACATTAACTTACAGATGAAGTCTATAAATTTGTATTTCTGATTATTAACCTCATCCTTTGATAATTATTTGTTGGTTTTGGTGTACTGTTAAGATGTTTCAACTATTATCCCTGTATTTATAACAGATGTCTGTGGGAATTTAAAGATGGTGAATGCATTTAACGGTATGTGTTGGTCAGGAGGAACATAAAGCTGTGCAATAGGAGTGGTTTGGTGTGCAGATCTTTCAGGTCCGGGACTCGTTCTAGTCGACTGTAAAGGTTTTTTCATTCCTTTGCTAATAAGAATTAAAAAATTAAAAGTTAAAAAAGGTGCAACCTCACAAACACAAACCCACCACAGCGTCACTCAGGCCTCCTGCGTGGTTACAGGTTGAAAAATAAAACACTTTACGTTCAGTTCTTAGAAAGGTTAACAAGTCCGGGTTAAAAATTAAAAAGTTTATTGTTCAAATACACAGCCCAGCAAATTATAAAGGGGTTAACAAATTAAAGATAAAATAGTAAAGTAGAACATAAAAACAACAACAGAAGAGACCGTGGACATTTAAGGATATGAATTATTGTGTTTTTAAAACAAAACAAAGATCACTAAACAGGGCAGAATGTGTGAGTGTTTTTTTCTGTGACAACTATCTTTAGGCGTTGCGATCGATGCGGACATCCACCTCTCGTCCATTGATCTTGGTTCCGTTCATCATCCTGCAGGCCTTCTCGGCGCTCTCAGCACAATCGAACCGCACCGTTCCACATCCCTTCGACTTGCCGTTCTCCATTTTGATTTCAGCAAACATTACCTGGCCTGCAGGAAATGACAAAAGAGCATCGACTAAACCCCGGACTCTTCAAAGTGCTGATTAAATAAAGCCAGCAGTTGTGACCCGTTAGTTCACGGTGAAATGCTGAGTCTGAGCAGATTTTAATCAAAACATCTCAACGTAATGAAGCTCTTACCACAGTGGCTGAACTTCTCCTTGAGCTTCTGCCATGTCAGGTCGTAGGACAGCTGCAACACAAACACCAGTCAGCGTTTCTGAAAGACCAGCTAAGGTCTCACTCTGCTGTTAGCCAACATTTCACTCTACTTTAGCTAACCTCTCACTCTGCTTCAGCTAATGTCACACTCTGCTTCGGCCAACATCTCTCACTCTGCTTCGGTCAACTTTTCACTCTGCTTCAGCCAAGGTCTCTCTCTGCTTCGGCCAACATCTTATTCTGCCTCAGTCAACGTCTCACTCTGCCTCGGCCAGCGTCTCACTCTGCTTCGGCCAGCGTTTCACTCTGCTTCGGCCAGCGTCTCACTTTGCTTCGGCCAACGTCTCACTCGGCTTCAGTCAACTTTTCATTCTGCTTCGGCCAAGATCTCTCTCTGCTTCGGCCAACATCTTATTCTGCTTCAGTCAACGTCTCACTTTACTTCAGCCAACATCTCACTCTGCTTCGGCCAATGTCTCACTTTGTTTCAGGCCACCCTCTCACTCTGCTTCGGCAAACTTCTCATTCTGCTTCAGTCAACGTCTCACTCTACTTCAGCCAACATCTCACTCTGCTTCGGCCAATGTCTCACTTTGTTTCAGGCCACCCTCTCACTCTGCTTCGGCAAACTTCTCATTCAGCTCCAGTCAACGTCTCACTCTGCTTCGGCCAATGTGTCACTCTGCTTCGGCCAACATCTTATTCTGCTTCAGTCAACGTCTCACTCTACTTCAGGATAGCTTCTCACTCTGCTTCAGTCAATGTCTCACTCTGCTTCAGCCAACGTCTCACTCTGCTGTCAGCCAGCATCCCATTAAAATCCTTTTCTGCAGTTAAACATGAGCCATGCAGGAAAACCGTCACAGTGGTTGGAGGCTAGACTCTCTGATTGGTTGAAGATCCTACATGAGACAAACGGGTTGGACTGGTCCAAACTTCTAAACAGTCCCGTCCTCTTGTGGACCACGGTTGCCTTTTTAAACCATTTTATTGCTCGTCTGTTGCGGGACGTCCTGGACGCCCTTTGCCAGATGTTTTTCAGACTATTCTCAAGGTTGTCGTGTGATGCTCTTGGAAATGTTGCAGGACATTCCTGAGACATTTGGGCAACATTATGGGAGACTTTTTGACAAATTCTTACCCAAACATCACCCAGAGTTTGGGTGCACCTTTGAGCAGGACATGGTGATAAAAGTCATGCATACAATTCAGTCAGACTGAAATTGTATGATTAAATTGTCTGTCATCAAGTGAGATTCTGGTTTCAGCATTTCTAAACCTTTATAAAATAAAGTACACAAATATACCGGTAATCAAAAAAGTTAAATATTTGTCACAAAGAAAAATAAATAAATGAGTTATCAGGAGTCTTGTCGGGAGCTTTATCATGTCATGGACCGATAACCCAACATTTCAGCAGCTGTAATAATTTGACCCAAACTTACATTTCTCACAAATATCTGACAGCCTCCTTTGGACCCGGAGCCTCCACCCAAGTGGCCTCCACCGCCATAGCCACCAAACCCACGGTTCATGTCCATTCCTGACATGCCTAAACGGTCGAAGCCGGAGCCCATCCTGTCCATGGACATGTTGCCCATTCCACCACCTGCAGGAGTGAAGAACCAGCAACAGAACCACATGAAGGCTTCAGCACTGAAGGAGACTCAAACTGGGACTTTAGGATGACACATCTTAATAAATCACAGAAAGCTTCTGATCGGCTCAAATCACTCAGTAGCCTCAAGGTTCCTGCAGCGCTTCCCTGATATTAGAATCAACGACTGAGTAGAAGACTGTCTCCCAGTAAAAAACATGTTAAAATAAAATATTGCAGTCGTTCTGCATCTTGATGCCGTTACATTAGATGGAAAACATTAAATGTGGAAATAATTTAGTTATTTTGCGTTTTGAGAGGAGAAACTACTGCAGAAGACATGTTTTTTCCTTAAGGACATGTTGATGTTTCAGGATTACTGTATATTAAAGAGAATATCTAGTGTGATCAAAATAAAAACATATTTTTGATCACAGAAACTGTGTGTAAAGCTGATTTTTTTTTTTTTCATTTAGCCTTTATTTATACAGGTTAGTCTCATTGAGCCACGAGAACTCATTTTCAAGAGAGACCTGTTTAGGGAGCACATGGTGGGGGTTAAGGGCCTTGCTCATGGGCCCAGGGTGGGGCGAATGAGGGTGGGGGCAAGTGTGGGTGTTTCACCTACCCCACCCACAATTTTGATGTTGTCGGGGCCGGGGCGTGAACCGGCGATCTTCGGATCACAAGCCCACCTCTCTAACCTCTGCGCCACCACTCCCCCACTATGGTTGTTTTTATAGACGGTCACATTCTAAACAACTGTTAGTGTTTAAACGTTTTACCTGATTGATTAACAAAAAGCAGTGATTAAAAAAAACATTCAGACCATCTGTAGGTGTTCCTGTACCTAAACCGGAGCCCATGGGTCCCATGCCACCACTGCCCATCCCTCCTCCAAAACCACCACCTGAAGGACAGATTGGAAAGAAATATGACCGTTTCACAGGCAGTTTAAACAAAAACACACAGTCTCCATCAAACTCGTGTGTGTGTGTGTGTGTGTGAATTGAACAGAAAACTGGATATTCTGAGGTCAAAGAATCACCTACCCATTCCTCCAAACGAGTCCCCAAATCCTCGGTTCATTGACATGTCACCATGGCTAAAGTCTCGATCCATCCCCCCCATTCCGGATCGATACATGTCTGAACATAACAGAGCAAAATAACTTTCAACTGAAGCTCCATCACAGCCTTGAAGTGACCCGCGTAAAGACACTCACCTCCCATTCTGCTAACCGAAGCCAAGTCTCTGCCTCCGAACCCCCCCATGCTGCTCATACTGTCCATTCCCCCGAAACCCCCTCCACTACTCATTCCTGGGAAAAACAGGCCGAGCTTGATCGTTACCGTTTGATTAAGTATTTAACGAGAAAAAAAAGACACAGAACACGTACCTCCTCCAAGTCTGTTCATCCCACCATAACTGGAGGAGTCCATACCTACAGGAAAAGGAAGTGACGTCACACCTGATGTTTTACTAACAGGATCACCTAACTGTTGAATATGCTGCTTCACAGGGACAAACACTCAAGCTGTTTTGGTAGGTAGACAAATATTTTGGCTGTTTCTGTAGGTAAGCAAACATGCAGCCGGGGACAAGTTTAGCGCTCAGATTTTTAAATTTAGGACACATCAAGGTTCAAAAAGAGCCAATTTTTTTGGTGGATTTAGCTTTTTTCTGATAAGTCTTAATGTGACTTTGTGACTTTTCAACAAGGAGTTTCATTAACAACCTGCAGACAAACAGCTGCTGCGCTCCGTGAACCTCAGCAGACAGAACTCGGATCAGGAAACGGTGTCAGAATAAACCGTGTTCCAGCTGCGAGTGAAAAAACCAGTCAGGCTTTTTAACAGCTGCTCTCAGTGAACAAGCTAACGACCATTACCTTTTAATTAAAGAAAGGCCGAGTAAAGATTTCTCCACGTTCTGTGGATCAAACATTTTCCTGAGAGGATTAGGAAGTGCTGTGTGAGGGGCGGGATTACAGAGATCCAAACAGATAAAACAATAAATAAAGTTTGTCACTGCAGCTGTCACAACTTTCCATGCTTGAAGCAGCCATGTTGGATTTAGTCAGGATTCTCCGACTATCGGAGCTGAAATTTGGATTTATGGCGTCCAGATTTTGTTTTTCGAACTCATAACTCAAGTTTACTTCCCAATACAAATGGAACGCACCGGCTCGAAGAGGACTGTTTTTACTTATTTGTCTGTTTAAAATAAAACGCTAACGTGACTGACCTCCAGGTCCCATGGAGCCCATTCCTCCCCCACTGAGACGATTAGCATTTATGGGCTGGCCTCCCGGTCCCAACCCCATGCCGATTCCGCCCAGACCACCTGCAGGACGGGAGAAAAACGTTAAATATTCACCATCAAACTGCAAACAGAAAGATTCTGTCAGTCAGACACAGAACTCCCAACCACGTGCCATTTAAGCTACAGTAAAAAGAAACTACACAGAAAATTAACTGAATATTCTGCATTATAGATAAAAATGTGTTTTATTAACCGAACTTCAATGTTTGTTCTGTAAAACAAGTTTAAACTACTCAAGATGCACCGATAATCGTTTCATTTATCCAATCACAGTCTTAGAATCAAATCTTCCACCCTAAATATCAAGTTTTTATTTGCGTTAAAGAAGCTGAAGGCTGTGATGTCAGGGTGTCAGCTCGTGATTTCTGCAAGGAATAAGTTGAAACATCACTCACGAGGTAACGGAGAGGACTTTTCTACTTGACGGAAATCCTCAGGAGGAAGAGACTTTTCATCCTGCAAACAACAAGTGTTTTGGTTTGTTCATCAAAAATCAACACGTCTAATCTCAAAACAACTTAAATAATAAACATTACGCACAATTTTCACGTGCATCTGCCGCTCAAAGAGCATCTGTCCATTGAACATGGCTGGGTCACGAGTTGAGGAGAAATTCACATGAAATCATCGTTTTAATGCCGACACATTCTTCTGTTTGTTTTTGGACTAGAGCAACTTACGTTAAGCCATTTCAGCCAATCGGGTATAAAACATTCAATTCAGTTTTTTTATATAACATCGAGTCACAACAGAAGTCATCTCGGGGCACTGAACAGAAATATTCATATAAAAATATCACAAGTTAACAGTATTTATCTGAGGAGCAGACTGCTTTGAATTTATCTCCAACGCAGAACTCTCATCTTGAGCAAGCATGAAGGCGACAGTGGAAAGGAAAAACTCCCTCATGAGGAAGAAACCTTTAGCAGAACCAGACTCAGGACAAGTGACCATCTGCTTCGACCAGCGGAGTTTGAGAGGAACAGGAAGGAGGAATAGATACACAATGGCAGGTTGAGAATAACATGTTAAGATAGAAATAGTATCAAATGAAAACTATTCAATTTTAAGAATTTATTTAAGGAAATGTGGTCACTTCAGCTTATCACATTCAGATGATCACAGCTCGGACTGTTACTTGTAACTTTTATACTTTATGAATTATTTAACTTTATTCTTTGTCTTAGAAATGCATAGAGCGTCAGATCCCTCAAAAATATTGAGCTTTTAGAGAACTTCAGCATGTTTTAGCTTTAAGCTCACACCCTAGCGCTGCTGGGATACCTTTTTTATTTTAGCTTTGCTTATTTTAGATTTCAACTACCAGTAGTTTAGCAGAATTTAGTGTTGCTACATATAGCTGAAGTTTGGCTCATTTTAGCTTTTGTCTGATTGTTTTAAGTAAGTTTCAGCTTCTTCAGGTGCACTTATTTTACAGGAAACACTGCTTGTTAATGGTTTAGCTTCCATATTGAACTTTTAAAGGATACAGATGGCCTGAACTGCCTCCAGCGGCTGTTCAAACGTCACAGTTCCCATCCCGCGACTCTTTCCGTCTTTATCCTCCTTAACGTCTGCTCGTTTCACCAAACCTGCCATGCCAAACACCTCCTTCAACTTCTTCCAGCCCACCCTGAAGTCCAGCTGCAGAACAAAACAACATTTTTAATAAACATTAAACGTTATTAACTGGACCAAACCTCTGATGAACGCCTGTTCTCACATTAGCCACGAACACCGTGGTGCCCAGCCGCCCAGCCTGCAGGGCATGGATGACATCTGGTGGTATGTTGGGGTTGTTGGCAATGGAGTGGGGGACGTTCATCCCACTGGGGCCCATGTCCTGCACCCGACCCCCCTGCTGGCTTCCTCCCATGCGCTGCAGCGCACGCCTGGCATGTTCACCATCAGGGTCCTGAAATTGCAAAAACACTGAAATCACCAAAGATTGTTCACAAAAAACAAAGTTCTCACAATTTTAGAGCAAAAAACTCAATCCAACAATTCCTCCATCCATGATTTTTAAGCCATTTCAGACATTAAAGTGTCTGTAAATGTATTTAATTTATCATGACCTTGTAATGCTTTTTATGTGGAAACGTAAAAATAAATTAATACCTGAGAAACAAGTGATAAACTCGGTGCTATGAGATAAAATGCATTTCAAACACTGAAACAGCTTTAAACAGATTTTAATTCACACCTCCTTGATGTTGAGGGGTCTTCCATTCAGGTCATGTTTATTCATGGTCGACACGGCCTTCTTCACAAACTCCTCATCTTTAAACTCCACCACACTGAAGAACAAGAGTCATCACCACATTTATCCAGAAAAACAAGAATAAAAAAGGTTTACTTCAGAGAAAAGGTAGTTTCTTACCCACAACCCTGACAGGGGACATCAGGCGAATCCAGGCGATAACAAACCGTAAACAAAATACATTTAATATCAAGACAAAACTGTAAAAATCATATTTTAAGACATATAAAAAGTATAACTTAGTCATACTACAACCACTGGCCTGAGCCATGAGGTTAAATTGGTATTTATTAAACAAGATAAAAACGTATTAACTGTGAAATTATTAATTATTTGCAGTATGATGAGCTAAGATACAATGAGATTTAGCTTGTAATATTAAACACATTAAAACATTATTTTCAGATCATTCAACAGTTTAAGATGATGTTGAACTAGACCACAAGGAGTGGTAAAACAATAAGTTCATCGAGATCTAAATTTATTAAAGGCATTTGTGAAATTGAATCTAAAACATTAATAAAAACTGTTTTGCTCCACTGAAGAGAAAAATAATTGGAGGTGTTTATTTTGAGACATGAGGGTCAATCAATCAGATAAATCACACAACCCACATTTCCATTTGGAAAATGTCCAAACAAACAAACTAACAAACATTTAGACCAATTGAAATAACAACAACAAAAGCAAAAAATTTAAAAAGTACTCTTAGAGGTTCTTTAGGCTACATTTCCAAAAATCAACAGGACATCTCCCATTCAAATGAATGTCAATAATGATCCATCTGTAAACACAACGTACAGGATCTCCAGTTCAGTAGAGCCAATAGATCTGAGCCTAAAAGTTTAATGAGAGCCTGCTGAGGGCTTTTAAAACCTCGTGCAGCAAGTCGGCCACATCACTTACCCTTGACTTTCCTTCTGCATCCTTATAGAGCTCCACGTATGTAACCTCACCAACTACATGAGACATACAAAGGAAAAATACCAAAAGAACAAAAGGGATTTGAGTCACCAAGTCTTCAAGTTGTCGCTGGCCTTGGCAACGCCGCTACAGATGGAGATGTCCCATTAATGATCAACAGTCAGACCAACATCCCACCAGACAACACCAAGCCTTCTGGGCAGAGACTGAGACACCCAAAGGCCAAGGCCAGAGAGAAACACAGCTATATAACCTGGGAAATTCAAAAGACTTGCAACATGTTAACAGATTCCATTCATGGCAGTAGATTTGTTGCCCAAAAGGCTTCTTCAGACCCCCCTCGTTAAGAAAGGAAAACATTTCAAGTCATGAGCACCCAGCAGCAAAGACATTCAACAATCAAATTCTACAACTAGTTGGAGGTTACAGTTTGGAGCTGCCAATGCAATAAAACAAGTGACAACTTCTTCCTTTTCTCAAATACGTATCAGCCCAAGCTGAATGGGTGTCCACCCGAAAGAAATTTGACTTAAAAACCAATAACCTAAAGTCATACACTGTTGTTTCCTTAGCATCTGCTCTTCATACTGCCAGGACATGAATGATCTAAAACTAACAAGACTAGTTGTGAAAACAGGAAGCTCTGTTTGATGAAGAGGTTGAGAACTTCTAATCAAACGAGAGGACAGAAGAAAAGACATCACGATCACCTCATGATGAGACGATGTTACCTTTCTCACGCATTACATCTTTGATGGCCTGCCACTTCATGTCATAAGGAATATTACTGATGAACACCCGGTTCCTGTGACCGCTCTTCTTCTCTCCATATTTATCTTTGTAGGGATGGAAGCGGGGTGCTCGTTTGCCGGCAGAGGACTTCTCCTTGGAGTCGTGCTTTTCTTGGGTGTCCTTACTCTCCTCGTTGTCCCTACAAATGAAAAGAACCGCTGGTCAAAGGACTGTATTCAAAAAACACACAGAGTAAGCATATTCAAAAACATTTGAATAAATACGTGTAACTGCATTTCATATTTTCGTGCTGATGTGGAGGGGAGCGCTACATCAGTAGCTTTTTGGCTAGCGTGCCTGTACTGTGTTGCGCGCCGCTAGCTTAGCACTACGTCAGTGCCAACGGGTGGGGGAGTGGGTTAAGGACATTTTGGTAGGCAGGGCGCTCGGTTCTGTTGATAGGATGGAGCGCCTTCCTTGTATAAATGTGGGGGAAACACCGGAATGCATTAAATAAAAACCTCCAATCACTGTAACTACTCTCAGGCAGACGATACAGGAGTCTCCCATCACGTACAAAATGACTAAAGGACAGTTATTATTCACAACCTGTCAGATTACTAAACTCTCGATAAATAGCACGTAACAACTGGCAATGACACTGAACCAAACCACATCTGTGACAACTAATATGACTAATATTAGCTTGTTATATGTTCATTATTTATTGCTACTGCACTGGTTGGGCGGTATCTGGGATCATATATGATACAGTATCCATCTACCTTACCATCATAATTCAATCTCCATGTCACATAACCTGCACAGTATATGTTAATTATATGCTATATTCATTCAAATTCATCCTGCTGCACCATTATATTCTACCATTTTGTTGTTTAATACTGCTCTTTAGGATGCTGTAAATATTACAACTACTTTTTCACTTTTTGGTACTTTAGTTTTGTACCCTTATTGCACGCTTTTAGCATTTCTTGTTCGTTTGTTCTTTGATCTTTTAGCGAGTCAAATCGGTTCTTCTCATCCTATGCATTTCATTGTACCGTTTACCTTGCATATGACCAATAAACACAACTTGAACAGTTTTAACCACAGGCAGACTGGTCAGGGCGCAATGAAAATAAAAACACTTTCATCATATACTGAGACCTCTAATCCTGTTAGCTCATTAACCCTGGTTCATTGTGTAGCACTGTGAGGCTATGAGCTGCTTCGTGGATACCACCAACTTTGTTTAACGCAAAGCATTGTAGTCCTGTTTGTGTGTTGGACGAGTGTGAAAATGGGCCGTGACTCGTGAACATCACTGTGCTGTGTATATGTGCAACAATGATTGCAGATTTAAAAACAAGTGAGAATATGGAATAATGAAAACTTATATGATAGTCGAACAGAGGTCTACTGTTATAGTATAGGTCTAGTATTACAGTACATGTATATACAGGTTGAATGAAAAAAAAAGGACTATGATTATAGTATAGGTCTAGTATTATACTATAGGTATACTCTTTTAGTATACACAGCATTTTTAGAAAGGCCTGATTGTAAGTAGGCCGGTCGTGTTAGGCTTCTGTCCCAACATACAGCTCAGAACAGCTCCTGACAGTACATCCTTTCTCATATTAGGAAAAACCAACAAAACTCCTTAAGCTGCGCAACTTTCTAAATTTGAGGACCAGTCCATGGGGTTGCCCCTAAACAATCCCACAAACCATTGCGCGCCGTTTTCGGTAGGTGGCGCTAAACAAAGATGGCGGTAACCGTGAAACGGCGACTGACTTCACGTTTTTTAGCTGCAGCCACAATGAAAGGCTCTCCCTGATTGGGTTCAAACGTAAAAAAAATATATATATTGCTGATAGTATCGATGTCGTAGACTCAGATCCTGCGATTTTAAAAAAAAACTAACTTCAATAACATTATTAACATAAGGCTTACTTTTAATTTCACGAGGTTTTAATTTAAAAATATCTACTGGTTGCCGCTAGCGTTAGCAAACAGCATAGCATAGCTCGCTTAGTGCACGATTTTAGTAAAGCTGAAAAGAACGTAACGTTTACAAATTTATAACGGCCATTTTTATAATGTCGTAACCAATACGCCTAAGATCCGAAGCGTATTTACCATCGGTTCGTGTTTCTAGCAAATTTAAGCTTCTCGACTAACAAAAGGATCCCATCTTAGCTAGCTAGTTAGCTTTGAGCAGGTCATTAATTTGCCTCACGTTTTCACGCCGTTCGGTGTTTCCTGAGAAGTCTCGTCAATTTCGGACAAAACAGACGCTTCAATTTCTTCTTCTTCTTCTTCTTTAATCTCTTCTTCAGGATTTGTAACATCCGCCATGTTGAGATTATTCCGTTTTTGTCAGAACAGAAGACGTTTCTACGCAGTAAGAATGTGCGGGATTCGCTCTTCTTCTGTTGTGGATTTTCAGAATCAGGGCAGCAGCAGACATTCCAACTGAGAGGCGCTCCAGCGCCACCTTCTGGAGGGAAGGTGCGTGGCAGATGGGCAGCAAGACAAAAGAATTATAGCAACTATTGTCAAATTTAAGAAGAAATGTTGGTTCAATTGTTTTGCACGTACTACCTTTTCTCGACCACTGGATAGCAGTGTAAGACTGTCTGAACCGAAGGATGGATAAAGTCCATGCTCAATAATCCAGGTATACAATGCAACAATTTTCAGTCAGGTCATCTGGACAGTTTCTTTTTTTTTCTGCTGAAACGTTTCACTTTCTTCTGACATGACTGTCGATGAGGAAGAGGGCTGGCACAAGAGGAGGGGGCGTACCAAAGACACCATCTTAGCACTAACAGAACTGGTTTGTTCCACTTTGGAGTAAGCTGTTGGGGGAAGAATCAGATTTGTTGTGTGTTTCCTTGACTGATGAAGCCTTCTGGATGGAAGGTGAAACGTTTCAGCAAAAAAATAAACTGTCCAGATAACCTGACTGAAAAATGTTGAAGGATGGATAGTGAGGGAGTGAGCCGCGTGTCTCTAAGAAAAATGGGAGGGAGGCCTCTTGACGTGACAAGGGCTGACTCTCTACGGTTCTCAAAATGGCGGCTGCTCGGTGTGGTTTGAGCTCTTTAGCATTTTTCACACAAAGCTTTTAATAAAAATCAGTCAACAAGTTCTCAGCTTCTTTTTGCAGAGAATAACATTTTACACAAAGGCACGAGTTTCAACTGTGAACTTTGGAGCTTCGACAGGACGGAGGTTTATTCCCAGAGGTCGGTCTGTTAGCTTAGCTTATAGCTTAGCTTCTTTTAACGATTCAAAACAGCGATTGTGGACGGTTAAAATGGATTTTAAGAATAAAAGAGAAAGGGAGGTGTCAGTGAAGGACAACAGAGTTGAACCTTTTATTATCCAGTGTCTTCAGTAGAAAGAGAAAGACAAAGAAACAATAAATGAAAACGAGGTCGATCATTTTAATTTATCATGCGATTAATTGATATATAGATTATCGTGACAGGCCTAGTGTTAAACTGTAATTCTATTCTGATCCTGATTGTATTATATTATTGTATTTCACTTTGACCACACTGGACAACATTTACTGTCACTAAACAGTGCTGTGACATGTTGTCTGGTGATTAGTGTAAAATATTGTTGCTCGTTTGTTTTCATCTTTTTTATTACTGTAATATTAATTTGACACGTTTTGTCTTAGGTTTTGCACTCTCAGCGCCTCAGTGAACCTCCACTTAAACCATGGGTGATCCTCCAGGTGGACAGTGCACGGTGCACATGCACGGCTGGCAGACACAGAAGAATCAAATCAAACTGTGGTGCATCTGCAAAGGGCCTGAGGAGCAGGATGACATGTTGTCTGTGATAAACTGTGCAGGACTCAGTCAGACACCGTCAGCGAGTGAGCCGTGGTTCTGTCACCTGACCCTGCACTCCTCGTTTACACTTCAATATGTAGGTACATTGTGTTCACTTTGTTATTTTTACTTCCTCACTGTTTACACTGTTTACACTGTTTACACTGCCACTTTACCACTTTTGTCTGCACTACGCTGGGCACTATGTTAAAGGACTAGATATATTTAAAGAAGAAGTCACCTGGTCTCTATGACTCAGGGCTGGGCCACATCATGTCGGTCATGATAATACGGGTCAAAAAAACTTGCCCGGGAAAATAAATTATATCATGATATGCTAATTTCATGACGGAAATACGTCAGTGTTTCCCATACTAAAAACCGGATTCCAAAAAAGTTGGGACACTAAACAAATTGTGAATAAAATCTGAATGCAATGATGTGGAGATGGCAAATGTCAATATTTTATTCGTAATATAACATAGATGACAGATCAAAAGTTTAATATGAGTAAATGTAACATTTTAAAGGAAAAATATGTTGATTCAAAATTTCACAGTGTCAACAAATCCAAAAAAAGTTGGGACAAGTAGCAATAAGTGGCTGGAAAAAGGAAATTGAGCATATAACGAACAGCTGGAAGACCAATTAACACTAATTAGGTCAATTGACAACATGATTGGGTATAAAAAGAGCTTCTCAGAGTGTCAGTGTCTCGCAGAAGCCAAGATGGTAAGAGGATCACCAATTCCACCATTGTTGCGCAGAAAGATAGTGCAGCAATACCAGAATGGTGTTACCCAGCGTAAAATAGCAAAGACTTTTAAGTTATCATCATCAACCGTGCATAACATCATCAAAAGATCCAGAGAATCTGGAACAATCGCTGTGCGTAAGGGTGTAGTGACATAGGTCGGTTAGCTTCGTTTAGCTTTGGAGCTACACTACACGTTATAATATCTGGACTAGTTAAAGTACCTGATATTATACTTAATTTAAACGGGTTCTCTCTTTTTCGAGCTACTTGACAGATATGTGACAGAGATCAGTGACGTGAGACGTTAATTTTCTTTGACCCATCAAAATGAATGCGGTCATTTATTAACAGAATCAAAGTTTAACATCAAACATTGTACACGTGATTATTCTGATTGAAGCAATAACACAGTGTAGATGAACATATGCATGAGATATATTCATAAATTAAACGGATTCTTTCATTTTTCTGGACCGTATATAATGTGCATTGAATTTAGAAATGTAACGTGAGACGTTAATTATCTTTGACTCACCAAACGACAGTGGGTCATTTATTAACAGAATCAAAGTTTAACACATCACACATTTACATTAATTGGCAAAATATGGAAAATAACAACATGGCTAATTTTAGCAAGCTGTACAATTTTGATTGACCACACGGCGGTGGATGAGAACTTTACACAGACATTTCTAAAATATCTGGAATGATTTCTACCTGATAGAAGAATTTTAAAGATGGAAAGATGAAGTTTAAAGGGAGAAAAAGATGGGTGAGGGGGTTTGTTTGTGTCAGCATTCAGGACGGCACTCTCCGGGCTTTTCTCAGCTTCTTCCCCAGTACACTTAGGTGGTATAACTCGACTCTTTTACCTGGAGATGTCTCCACTGGTACGAAAGTCCATTCAACGCACCCTATCAGCGTCTCCGTAGGAACAGCTGTGAATCGTCCGAAGTAGTGACGGTATTCCGTCCGACACAGGTTCACCTCACGAGTGGACTTCACATGAGTGGAGTCCGTCAGAGTTCCACCCAGAGGTGGAAGATGGTATAATCCCATAAGACTCGGAAGAGCTCTGTGGTCATGTCAGGATCTTCCTGTTTCCCAGCACGGGAGCTGCAACGACTCCAAACTCGACTCTCGACCCCACTGGAAACTTCACACGACTCTCGACACTCTCTCGACACTTTAAAGAGCTCTATTTCCGGTTCATTTGGGAGTTTCTGATTGGTCAATATCGACCAGACAGGGGTGTGTTTTGTGACGTAAGAGGTCACTAGAAGTCAGAAAAACAGCAAGAATGTTATGGGACAGATTGAAAATGTTTTTAGAGACAGAGAGAGAAATGTTTGGACGAGTTGGCGGAAAAACAGGTGCCAACAGGTGCCAGCTTCTCTATTTACGTCTGAGAGGATGTAAAAACACGACAGCTCGTTCCAACAACTGGTCTGCGTTTGACTCCAACCTTGGACCACTTACACTTGCTCATTTAAAGACAGAAAATCAGAAAATGCATAATTACTCTGTAACAGACCTTAACATGAATTCTAACTTTGCATGAGGATTAAAAATCATTATTACTGTTTCACAGTTAATTAAAATGATTAGTTCACTGCAGCATCTAAAATGGTTTGAACTAAAACACTTTGATTATCAAACATTTGTAAAATAGTAATGATAATAAAAAAGAGAGTGTTCTTTCACTTGAATTTTCAAGAAAGAAAGTCTCAGGATGGGTCAACCTGTATTTCTGGATTCAAATCAATGAAATGACAGTTTCTGTCCCATATGGTCCTTAAGGTCAAATCCTGACCTTAGGCTTAGTTCACTACAGTCCCCCCTTTGGAAATCATCGCCTGTCCATGGGGATGAATTCCAACATGAACTTACGCCTTCGAATGTTCTTGAGCTTGATGTAATCCAGCAAGGAAAACAAAAGTCAAAAGTAATCCAGCAAGGAAAACAAAAGTCAAAAGTAATCCAGCAAGGAAAACAAAGTCAAAGGATGTAATCCACAATGTTTTTGTAATTCCATAATGTTGTTGGTAATTCCATTGTAGCAATGCTTTAACCCCTTGGAAACAGAGTTTGTAATCCATTGGAAAAAGTCATATAATCCACAACGGTAAATCCACAACGATTGGAAGTGTTGATTGATCAGCATACAGAGGAGTTCCCTTGGATTGAACCGAAGATGCGGCCACTGGATGAAGATTGGAGACCAACGTCAGGATTGCAGGTCTCCTCCAGCGAAGGTCGTCGCTGGGTGGATGTCCAGTCTGTGCCGTTCTGGTTCAATGTGACATGCAATTATGTGGTTTAAAGTGGGCTTATGAAGGGGATTTTACATAAGGCCTTAAACTATATGCACCTGGTGTGTAAGCTATTATGGTTGGGAACAGCTACAACTACCAGTTAAGGGGTGGAACATGCTGAAAAGGGTAACTATAGGGGTTTATACCTATAGAAAAGGGTTCCAAACTATTTTTCCATTTCTAACTTGGTTTAAGCTAGCTTTACATGGCAAAATATAGCTTGGTTCAATTGTCTGTTGTCTTTTAGACGAACGACTTGTGATTGGGTGTTTTGGTTTCCCCATAAATGATTTTGGAAGTCTATGGCGAGACTCATCAAAAAGAATTAGCTATCCCCCGAATAGAATTGTTCGAGCAGGTTCGGCTTAAGCGTTGTGAGACCAATGTAGATTATGGTACTTAAGGTAGCATTAATATACATTGACTCCGCGAAGATTGCAATTTAATGAATGAACTGCATGTTGGCATAGTTAAAACCCTTTACAGTCTCCAACTAAAACTTACACACAAAATTCATTCTTACCTCAGAAACAACCAAAACCAATTAAACAACGTTTCAACATCGACAAGAGTAGTGACTAAGCAACTAGAAACATCGTTTCACTGCTTCACCTCACCCTGGTTGTCAGATTCAGTCACGCTGTCCCGTTTGTTTGTTTCTTTGCACACCTTGTGTGGTTTAACCTGGTTACGATGTACCCATTTAACAGTTGGCTCTTTTTGGCCTTTGCTGATTTTTATCTGATAGACAACTGGA